TCTAGACTGTTCTCAGTGGTAGCAGATGACAGAACAAGGAGTAATGGTCTCATGTTGCAGTGGGGGAGGTTTAGGTTGGATATTAGGAAAACCTTTTTCACTAGGAGGGTGGTGAAGCACTGGAATGGGTTACCTAGGGAGGTGGTGGAATCTCCTTCTTTAGAGGTTTTTAAGGTCAGGCTTGACAAAGCCCTGGCTGGGATGATTTAGTTGGGAATTGGTCCTGCTTTGAGCAGGGGGTTGGACTAGATGACCTCCTGAGGTCCCTTCCAGCCCTGATATTCTATGATTCTATTATTCTAATCTTGGAATCTATGAAAACCTACCCAGTGTTTGCTTGTTTATTTGTTTTTTCCCCAAAGGCTAGCACAATACCTTGGTGTCTTTGTTCTGCATTTGAATATTATCTGAACTCCAGACACCAACCCCATATTGAGAGGTTGGGGGAAACTTGTTCTCTCAGCTTCAGCCAATCTCTAGTAATATCTTCAATCCCTGTGTGTTTCTAATTCAGAAGTTGCTTGACTCTCTTTCTGGTGTGTGGAAAGTGGAAGAGGGCCAAGACTAAAACAGGGTTCAAAAAAGAACTAATAAATTCATGGAGGATAGGGCCATCAATTGCTATTAGCCAGGATGGGCAGGGATGGTGTCCCTAGCCTCTGTTTGCCAGAAGCTGGGAATGGGTGAGAGGGGATGGATCACTTGCTTACCTGTTCTGTTCATTCTCTCTGGGGCAACTGGCATTGGCCACTGTTGGAAGACAGGATACTGGGCTAGATGGACATTTAGTCTGACCCAGTGTGGCCATTCTTATGCTACAGTTTCTAGCTCAACAGAAATCACTTCTGGAGCTTTTCTCAAAGTTGGAGGCTCTAGGAACACATGAAGTCCAAGGATGACTACAAACAACAATCACAAGTACAAAGTCTTATCTGTACTACAAGTTTGTTTAATCCATTTTTTAATCTACAAAAGGCATTTGCCCATTTTCTTCTGTTATATGCAAGAATAATTTTCTCACCTATTACTTCTTTAATTTATTGATAAAACCTTGTTATGAGCAGTTGGAAATGATGGTGCATAGGTCTCTCTCTGTTAGGCCACATGGTTGCATGCATCTACATGGTGCCATTTGCCAGACTCCACTTATGGTGTCTGCAAACTTGGTGCCACTCGATTTATCAACCGAGCAGGGACCACATCGACTCCAGCTTACGGTTCCCACCAGAGTTATCTCCTCCCTTGCTTAGTGGTCGAATCTGGAAAGTCCTATGGGGACTTCTTTCAGCCCTCCTATGCCTAGGACCACCCTTGTTACAGACGTCTCCCTTCTGGGATGAGGGGCACTCATCTGAACAACTACACTGCTCAGGGTTCCTGGACCCCATGAGAGGCCAGGCTACATATAAACTTACTGGAACTGAGGGCGGTCTGCCTTGTGTGCAAGGCCTTCCTTCCCTTCATGCTGGACAATATCACTGCGATGGTGTATATAAACAAACAGGGAGGAGCAAGATCTCATCCCCTCTGTCCTGAAGCTGTCAGTCTTTGGAATTGGTGTGTTAAGCACCACATCACAATGCAGGCTGTATACCTCCTGGGTATTCACAACGCCCTTGCAGGCAAGCTAAGCAGAAGATTCTCTGCAGATCATGAATGGGAGATTCATGACTCAGTCCTAACCATGATATTTACACAATGAGGTGCTCACTATGGGACCTCTTTTCATCCTAGATGAACAGAAAGCTTCTCCTATGTTGGTTTAGGGGAGCCATAGGTCGCAACTCCCAGGGTGCTGCTCTCCTGCTGTCTTGGATGGATGGCCTCAGATCCTCCTTTCCTCCTATTCCCCCCCCCCACACACACACTCCCACAAGTTATAGAGAAAATATGCAGTGACAAAGTCAATATCATTCTCATAGTACCTTACTGGACCAGACAGTTCTGGTTCATGGAACTTCTAACCATGTCCACCCACCCATTTATCAGGACCACCCATTTCTGGATCTCCTAATCCAGCATAGGAGGAAAATCAACCACCCCAACCTGGCTCATTCCACTTTATGGCCTGGTGTTTGGATGAGCATCGGAAATAGAATGCTTATGCTCTGCCCCCATTCAGGAAATCCTTAACCAAAGTAGAAAGGATTCCACTAGAACCTGCTACCTCACCAAATGGAGGCACTTTTTGGCCTGGGCATGACTCCACCAACATTTACTAGATACTATGGGCATTCTGGCTGTTCTGGACTCGCTCCCATTCTTGAAGAATTCAGGTCTAGCTCTTAGTTTGCTGCACCTAGCACCAGTGAAAAGATGTTACGATTTATGAAGGTCTTGATCAGGTCCTTCCCACCAATCCTTAAACCTATGCCTCAATGGGACCTTAACCTTGTCCTGTTGACACTCACAGGACCACCCTTCGAACCTGTGGCAACATGTGGCATGACCCACCTGTCCATGAAGGTGGTGTTTTTAGTGGCCATCACTTCAGCCAAGGGGGTCAGTGAGCTAGAAGCCATCATCGCAGACCCTCTCTGTACAGTGTTTCACAAGAGAAATTTTCCCTTGGATACATTCCAGATTTCTTCCCAAGATTGATTCTGAGTTTCACATCAATCAAGTAATACACTTACTTGTATTTTTCCCGAAACCCCATGCTTCCTCCGAAGAGAAGAGATTCACTCCCTTGACGTCCAGTGCACCCTGGTGTTCTATCTTCAAAGAACCAAATCCATTAGAAATCTCTGAGATTTTTTACTGCCATAGCAGAAAGATTGTGCAGGCAAGCCATATACTCCCAGAGAATTTCTAAGTGGGTTTTGGGATGCATCTTTAGAGTGCTACAGAATAGCAAGAATTCCTGCCTCTATAGCATCCCTATCTGATGTCCCAGGGCAGCAACTTGGAGTTCTGTTCACATGTTTGCAACATACTATGCTCTAGTCAGGCATCAGCTGTGGATGCAGTGGTAGGAATGGCAGTATTGCAAGCATCTTTGTTGCCAGCTTCCTCGCACCTTCCTGCAGTCTGAACATTGCTTGCCAATCACCCAGGTATGGAATACACAGAGGGACCATCACTTGAAAAAGAAGTGGAGGTTACTTACTGTTACTGGAGGTTCTTCGAGATGTGTGGTCCCTAGCTGTATTCCACTACTTGCCCTCCCTCCTCTCTGCTTCAGATCCTGTTGGATTTGTAATAAGAAGAAGAACTGGAGAAGTGTTGACTTGCATTGACTCTTATACCCTCAGTCAAGAGTACAGATAGGGACCACATATCTCTTAGAACCTCCAGTTACGGTAAGTAACCTCCACATCAGGGATGGATGGTCACACTCCACTCTTTACTGGATTAACTGATTTTTGATTTTTGCTGCCTCCAGGTGAGAATCACCCCTGTCACACAGCCTGGAACTCCCCAGATGGATGGCAACACCTGTCACAATGTTGTTTCTGAGGTACCTGAACCACCTTTCCACCATCATTGAGGCAGTGCAGGGCTGGAGTTAAGGCCCCAGGTCCTTGCCCTTTCTCTGACTGTCCTCTGTGTTGGACTTGCAGGTGATCTATGAAATAGAGTTCAATGGGACCCATGGAATCCAGAATGTCTCTGTCCAGCTTAAAGTGACCAGTGTCTCTGGGAACTCTCTGCAGCAGCGGTTCACACTTCAGTTCTGGGTCAGTGCCCTAGTTTCACATGGATCCTTCCAAGGGCTGGGGTTAGTGTCCTGACTTCATTTGAGTCCTTGGGTGAGGAGATCTGGTTAGTACCATGAGAGCATGTGGACCTTGAGGGATCAGGGGTCAAAATCCCAGTCTTATACGGGTCCTGTGGGGTATTGGGGATAGTGTTTTGGTCTTGGGTAGGTCCTCAAGGTAGGGACAGGTGAGCTGAGTGCCCTGGTCTTGTGCAGGGTTGGAGGGGGTTGGTGTCCTGCTCTTGGATGGTCTCTGGGGGAGGGGAGGGAAGAGATCAGGGTCAATATTTTTGTCCCAGGCATGTTATGTAAAGAGAGGATAGGAGGCAGTGCTGAATTTCACTTGTTCTGAGCAGAGCTGCTGGTGTCCTTTCCAGATGCTACTTGACCTGTGCCCTGGCAGTGGGGGATGGGAATTGCCCTGAAGGGTCAGTGACCTTTTCCAGCTCCTTAGGTTCTAAGGCTGGAGGACAAAGCTGGAAAATATTAAATCTGTCTGTAAGTTAGTACTGGAGAGGCCCACTCTTGTGCCAAGTGGCTACAGTATAATGTGGGAGGTGTGAGGTTGTTTGGTTGACTCAGAACAACAGACGCTTGTTGAGGTAGTCGCCAAAACCCCTCTCCAGTGAGGACGGTGTAATAAGTGTGTGTTTGAGGGGGAGAATATCAGTGACCCAAAACTTCAGGGCTGTGGAAGGGCAAGGGTGAGTTCTTCCTTTGAGTATCCTCTGCATATTCCCATTCATGGGAATGCTCTGACCAGAGCAGCCTGAACGGTAAAATTCTACTAGAAGTAGCCATTGGAGCATCCACGCACCTCCCTTGCTCGTCCCACTTCTCCCCCCCAAAAAAACCTCCCTCCCCAATTCCAGACGTTCTAGGGCAAGGATTTAAAAGGAGCATGGCGCTCCATTGCCTCAGTGCCTTCAGCTGTGGCCAGCTGGACGGTTACATTGTTGCTATAGGATCCTTTCAGAACCTATAAGTAGATAGGCAGTTTGTATAGGTTAGTTGGTACATAAGTTCACAGGGTTACACAAAGGATAACATGACAGACCAGAAGGCTAAGAAGCCTGGATTCAAAAGATGCAACTGGTGCCCAGGTGTATTCCTAGCATCAGGCACATATCCCAGATGCTTGAAGTGTTTGGGGGAAGGGCATTCTCCCTCTAAATGTCCAAACTTCTCATCATTTATCACAAGGGCAAAGAGAGACAAAACCGGCTCAAGGCAATTTTATTGCATGAAGCACTGAAGTGGCAGCTTGTTTCCAGATACTGGCTTCAGCCCCACCTCTGCCTCCAGCCAACTGTGCAGAGAAGAAGTGAGATTCAGCTTCTATGTCAGGCACGGTATGCAAGAGAGATGTCAGGATCTGAAAAAATGGTCTGGATCAGTGACAGACTCTGTTTCCAGAGCTGTCCCATTTCAGAGAGACTCAGCTGCGGTACCGAGGAAAAATTTGCAGCCCTCCTCGGTGTCAGCCTTATTACAAAGAGTCAATCTGTGTGAGAAGGACATACCAGGACAGAATCTCATTTATAGAGCCAGGCTCTGATTTAAGCTCTCAGTGCAGTGCTAGGAGCCATTCCTCTATGGATCCAACAAGACTGGATCCAGAGGAGCCTGTCATGAGGGTGAGATTTATGGAGCCAATTAAGAGAACTCAGGAGGGTTTGTTAACTAGCACTGCTCTGCATAGTATTACCGTTAAGCAGTAAAGAGATAAGCAGTGCGAGGTAATATCTTTTTTTCTGGACCAACTTGTGTTGGTGAGAGAGACAAGCTTTTGAGCTACACAGAGCTCTTCCTGAGGTCTGGGAAAGGTACTCAGAGTGTCACAGCTAAATACAAGGTTGAACAGATAGTTTAACATAAGTAGTTATTACATTTTCTAAGGGACCATTGAAGGTGAAGTGGCCCGTTATCACCCTTGTAGTCCTAGGACTGCACCACTGGACAAATGCATCACAGAACCAATGATATACCTGAGATACATTGATGATATTTTTATCCTCTGAACAGATGGCTTAAACTCCCTCATAGATTTCCACCACAACTTCAACCACCACTACCCATCCATCAAACTCTCTCTGGAACAGTCCCACACTAGCATCAACTTCCTTTACACCATAATCAGCTTCACCCTACAGACAACTATATACAAGGAACCCACAGATCATGACACCTATCTTCATAGATCCAGTAGCCAACCCAAACACACTAAGAACTCTGTTATCTACAGCCAGCCACTCACATACCATAGAATATTGTCTGAGGAGCAAGTCCAGGGTATACACCTTAAAACACTCAAAACTGCCTTCACCAAACAAGGGCACTCCCAGAGAAGTAGAGTGCATCATAGAATGGGCCACCCAAATACCCCAAGAGAACCTGCTTAAATACAGAAATAAAACCCACTCTGACCACACACCCTCGTTGTCACCTACCACCTCACGCTGGAACCCATATCGGCTATCGTCAAATTAAAACCCATACTTGATGGGGACTCCACCCTGAAAGAAATCTTTCCTGAACCCTCTTTTTTGGCCTACAGACAACCTCCCCGCAACCTCTCCTAGCTCAACAGAAGCAAGCTCCCCACAGACCAGGACACACTAACTCAAAGTGGCACCAGACGCTGCTGGAACAACAGATGCAAAACCTGCAGACATATCTCCATTGCTACAATGATCAACACCCCCCCACATCACAGCTTTCAAGACATGTGGGTCTTACACATGCCTATCACAACTTCGGGGGGTACCTCATCCAGTGCACTAAATGACCCAATAACTATGTGGGTGAAAGCAGACAATCACTACGCTCTTGAATGAACTCACACAGGAAAATAATAGACAACAATACCACATCACCTATGGCTGAACACATTCAACAAAGTGATCACTCTATATCTGACCTATCAGTCTTGATCCTCACAGAAAACCTGCACACCACTTTCAAAAGACAAGCCTGGGAGCTTAAATTCATAACTTTGCTAGATACTAAAAGTCATGGTCTTAAATACAGACACTGGATTTATGACTAATTACAACAATCTGTAACCCAATAATCCCTCTTGTAGTTCTGTGACTACAGGGGTGTTAATGGGTCACTTCACCTTGAATGGTCCCATAGCATATATTCTATCTGTTCGACCTTGTATTTAGCTGTGACACTCTGAGACCTTTTCCAGACCTCAGGAAGAGCTCTGTGTAGCTCAAAAGCATGTTTCTCTCACCAACAAAAGTTGGTCCAATAAGGGATATTGCTTCATTCACTTCATTCATTGTCTCTCTAATATCCTGGGACTGACATGGCTACAGCAACCTGTATACAACAGTGTTAGAGCAGTGATTCATCAGGTGGATCTGTCTATGGCTGTACTGACAATTGAGCCAGTTACTGTATCTCAGAACACGTCAGGTGTGTTACTACGATCAGTCAGGCTGACTGCTTCTCTGAGAGTCAGCCAAGAACTGGAAAGGGTCAGGAGCTCTCTGCTGCTGCATCCTACAAAACCCCTTTGGCATTCATGGAGAAGAACTTCTCTCCGCTCTCCTTTTCCAGGAGGTTGTTGTGTCCCATCTGAGCTGAAAATGGATTGGGGCCAGAAGAGGGAGGTGGATCACAGATCAGAATCAGGGAAAGCTTCTTATTATCAGTTCAGTGCTGGCCTTCTGGATCCGCAGGCACAGAGAGATTTCCAACCAGATCCATCAGTAGGGTTTTGGCCTGGGTGGCATCTATCTCCTTGGTAAGGTGGCCTCACTGGCTATTTCTGGCCCCTTATCAGGAAGGGCAGAGTTCAGACCTTCAGCAAGACAGTATCAGGAGGACATTCAGTTGTTATATCCAAAGGATAGGGACCAACCAATGCCGCTTACTCAGAACAAGTCACCTATAGAAATAGGTGAAATATTCAGTGAGGAGGAACTGGAGCTGGGAGAGTCTGATTCAGAATTAAGGGATGTGCCTTCTCTGGATGAAAATGTGGGGACATCTCAGTATCATCACCATCTGAAGATGCTGTAGCCTTTCATGAGTTAATATTGCGAATGTCAAAGATGTTAGATATTCCTTCTGTTTTTGTGGTGGAATCATTGCATCCTATCTTCAATGTCTTTGGGGCAGTGGCTAGTCAATGAGTCACACTTCTCTTGTTAGAGGGAATATTCAGTCTGGAATATTCAGACCATTCAGCCTCTATGTAAGAAGGAAGATAAATTATGTAAGTTCCCGCAAAGAAATACTGTGCTTCATGCTCATCTGCCTCTTAATTTGTTGATAGTCGAAGTGGTACTTCACAGTGGTACTTCACAGAAAAGGTGCCCAAGTTCACTTTACTCCATCAGATGAGGAAAGGAAGAGACTGGATATAGTAGGAAGAAAAATATTTTCTTCAGCTGCATTAAACATGCTCATGTCCAGCTACGAAGCTGTCGTGGCTGGGTACCAATACCATTTCTGGAGCAAAATGTCCTCTTTTCTTAACTTTGTGTTCCTCTGGAAGTGCATTATCAAATGCTGTTTTGACTGAAGGACTGAATGTTGTCAAGCAACAGTTGAAAGCAGCTTTTGACTCCTCAGATACTTCAGCAAGGTCAGTAGCTTTGGCTGCCTCACTAAGAAGAGACACACTGTTAAGACCAATGGGATTCCCTCATGAGACACAAATGAGGATCGAGGACCATCCATTTGAAGGAGAAGGTCTGTTTATTATTCAGACTGATGAGGTATTAGAGAAGATGAAAAATGTAAGATCTTTTGCTAGATCTTTACGTTTCTTTAATACAGGGAAGAGGCCATATTCAATTCCCATTACACAGGTATCTAAAGTAATATGCCTTCTTCATCTCCTTCACTTCATTACAATTATCAGAGAAGGGCATACCCTTTCTAACCGCAATATTATTCCCCACACCACCAACTACAACAGAGAAAGAAATTTAAGCCTCGCAATAACAAAGGGATTGTTTC